CCGGCCGCCATTTCCGGTCGGCCGCGGCCGCAGCCAAATCGACAGGCCGAAACGTCGGCCGGCCGCGCGGCCCGGAAACGGCCGAAAACCCGCAACCAAATTAGATTTTTGGATGCTAATGAAGGGATTTACTTGGCCGAAAATGTTTAGACTGAGGAAATTAGTTAAATAATGGGGTTGCAACGGTACGGGCGGTGAATCTTACAACGGCCCCTTACTGCAGGGGACGCTATCGCGCGCCCCTGCGCCCTAACTACAGTAACCCACCCCACCCACGGCCCCCATTACGCTAGCCTATTGCCTTCCTTTCCAAAAACCAGAAGTATACGAGAAAGAAATGGAATCGAAGTAGAAAATCTGGCATACTAGAAATAAAGCTATAATTGCGCACTTTGTAAAGCTTAAAGAGTACACGGCCCCTCCTGAACGTGCGCTTTAAATAGTCTTACGACACCAATCACGCTTTCAACATCCTTATGCACTAAGCAGGCAGGATTTAATGGAGCTTCGCCTGCAGTTCGATGTCGCTCCCGGAAGTTCAGGCGCGGTAGTTAATAGGATGTAGCGTTTTTTTCCCAAAGAACAAGCGGAAGATGTTGAGAAATAGGGCCACGTTGCTTGTAGCGTTTCGAGATCCTTATTAACTTACTCCTACCCTACCCTCTATATACAGTGACTTTAGGGAGACTTTTAGGCCGTTTAGGAGATATGACTTTAAGGTGATATGACTTTTCGGAGATATGACTTTTAGGCGATATGACTTTTAACAGATATGTATTTAGGAGATATGACCGGAAATCGTGAAAACCAATGCCCAAACCCATTCCTTATTTATTCAAAATTTAGAGGCGCCAGCGAGACGTTTCTGTGAAACTTTTTCTCAAGTGTGAATTGTCGGCCGGCCGACGCGGCCGCGGCCGAGCCGACCAAAAAAGTCGGCCGGCCGATCGGCCGACCGGAAGTCATTTGCATAGAGTCGGCGGCCCGGAAACGGCCGATTTTTTTATGCTAATGCGGCCGTCGGCCGGTCGGCCGCGGCCGGCCGACCGAAATTGCCATGTCTGGGTTAAAGGCTTTACAGATAGTTTTCTCGGCCTTTTATAGCATGTAAAAATTTAATTTCTTGCCTTCGCACCCAAAAGTTCATGATGCAACTTCCCGTTGTTTTCCCGGCGCTAATAAGTTTTTCTGGGCCGTAAATACAGTTTTTCAATAGAAAACTTGAGGTTGTATCATACAATTGCCCTAAATACGATTGCATAGGTTCAAAAATTAAAAAAAAACATTGATCTCCCCCCAAAAACCCCGTGATGCAACCTTCGAGCTGACCTGTGTTGTTTATCTCACTGTCATGGCCCGGTGGGTGCGTCTGGGCAGGCAGGGGCTCTGTTGAAATCTCAAGTTTCTGTCGCCTCTCACCCCTTGGAAAGAGCAATGATGCAAACAGGGTCTTTAAAAGAGTAGAGGCTGAGAGGTGATGTTGCCCATTAGACATATCTACAACTTGCACCTGGCCTTGAAATTGATTTTTAACCACTTTTTCTCGGCTCCTCCACCAATTCTTTTGTTAAATTTTCCCTTTTTAGCTCTCCCAAACCCTAATCAACCTAAAAATCTACAATGGCCCACCTGCCCGTTCCCGTGAGTTCTTAAAAATTACTTAAAAATTTTATAACATTTTTCAATGAATTTATTAGCCATCTAGCTAATTGGAAGTTGAAAATAAGCCTGATTTTAAAAGTAGATGGAGCTCAAATACTGTTTGAAAAGCATTAATTAAATTTAAATGACGTAATGAAAATAATATATTTTAAGGAATCCGGATGTGCTTACATCGCCACGCTTGCCCCGGCCGCCATCGGCTTCGTCGGCTACTCGATTTTTGCCGGAGATGACCTGACGCAGAGGTGGTATCAGGTATGTTTTTTCGAATTTTAACTTACCTTTTAGCTTAAATGCAAATTTATCAAAACCCTCCACTTTCAGACTCTCCCCCGCCGAGAGTGCGCCGCCAAGACCCTGAAAGCCTCCGCCCTCACCGATTTTCTCTCCATTTCTCCCCTAGGCTACGCTTCTTTCCTTGTCCACCGTGCTGCCGGTATCTTAAGAAACTTTTAAAATTACTATCATTTGCTCAAGACCACTGCCCATGCAACAAAAAGCTGGCGATGAACGCCTACGGCCTGAACCTCTTGCTGTTGTTGGCCAAGAACTATGCGACGAGGAACCAGAATAAGACTCATGTTAGTGAATTTCTGATCTATCGCTCTTTCTGCCTTACTCTCTCTCTCACTCACTCTCTTTCTCACTCACTCTCTCTCTCTCTCTCTCTATCTCTCTCTCTCTCTCTCCCTCGTTCGCTATAATACATTCTTTTTCAGCTTGCCGGTACCTCCACCCTGGCCGCCATCCTCGCCATCGCCACTGCCGTCGGATTCTACAAGGTATGGCTTTTTCACTGTATATAACTATTTTAATATAGTTTAATTACTTTGTAGATTTTTCGATAAAACTTTATTAATTAAAAACGATTTATTAAAGTAATTTACCTCTTTTACAGGCCGATAAGACCGCCGGCCTTCTGATGGCCCCGTACGCCGTGTGGACCAGCTTCCAGGCCTACAACTCGCTCCAAAAGGACGTCTAACCACACCATATTCCATTTTTGTATAGGCAACCCCTCAAGTACAACTATCTTTATTCGACCTTATCGACCTCTTGCTGCTCCACGATAAATTTTTGCAATAATTACGAGTGTCCACGAGCACGCCCATAAATAGCTTTCGGAACGCTGCCAATACGTCACTGGTCTCTTGCCAGCCGCTGATACGAAAAAACAACGGCTGCCTGTTGCCGAGGTTTGTATGCCCGGCTATTTTTAGAGTGATAACGATTAGACAACGGCGTGGGAGAGGGCCCGTGCAGGCTAGCAAATCAGCTGTTGACAAGCCTCCTGGGACTATGCATCACCTGCCTAGTCTCGATGACACCGCGATTCGTCAGTTCGTACCGTAAGCGTCTCCGAATTCGCTTTGAAGTTCAAAACGGCAATAAAGAGCGGGAGGTCGACCAACTACCCTGGTAGCCAATCAATTTTTGGGTATGTTCAAGATGAAGAAGAACAACTAACTGCGAGCCCTGGAAACCCCTGGCACCTGGAAACCCGAAGAGCATATTTCTTTGTTGGCAAAGCTTTTTGTGCTTAAACCCGCTAATTAGCCGCTATCCAAAAGATACCTCAGAACAACACTTTTGATCGGCGTCTAAGAAAAGGATCTGAAGCTACGTAGCGATTCCCCTAACTGCCGCTCATCAGAAACCTTTTTTTGCAAACAATTTTTCATGGCTCGTCCTCATTTTTCACTGTTGCCCACGACCACTGCCTCGAACCGTTTCCAAACATTTTGTAACCACACTATCTACCGCCACACAAATTCTTGCACCTCCGAGCGCCGAGCACGCGTTATCGGCAACACCCGACCCCCTTTTCGGCAAGGCGGCGGCCGGGGTAGGTGTTATTAGACTGGTGAAGCCGTTCCCCCCACATTACCCACCGGGATCGAGTCCGTCGAAGTCTCTCACTTCTAACCATTCCATCCAAACCATCAAATTCCGCCGTCTACAATGTCGAATGTGGGTTTTGACGCACAACTCAGTCTTCGTGTCCAAGCTACCATAGTCACCCTTGCTTTTCAATCTGAAAAACTAGACATCTCCAAATAAATCGCGCCAGTGTATACAAGGTTGATGCCGGGTTATTCCGGATAGACCGATTTGGGAAGCTCGGAAACAGTAGCGCCTTAAAGGGGCTACGAAATGCCAAAAATTGGGTGACGGCCCGAAAATCGGAGCCCTGTACGTGGGAGGCCTCTGCACACCTAGGGTCGCGGGAAGCTCGCAAATTTGAAATGGCCTGTTGTCACCTCGAAATCACGTTCTCGGCTGTTTCTGGGCCAAATTGGATGATTAAAACACCAAAACTATTCAAAATTGAGTGAGGATTTCAAAAATGGGCTCAGAATGTGCGAATTATATTGTTTTCACAAAGAAACCGGGCAAAAACAACTTCGCGCAAAAATCGAAAGAGTGAGGGCTCTCGTCCCGCAGCGCCCGCTGGCAATTTGCCAGAAATCAAAGAGGCCTCCCAAAAGGGCTTTGATGGGCTGGCATGGATAGCTGCCCTGACTAGGGAATGGTCTCCACTCGACATCGAATTTTTCGTCGAAAGTTAGTTCATCTTGTAGAGCTCGACGAGACGAATCGATTGATGTAACTTTTAGCTGCGGATACTGTAATACAACAAAGTTACAGCCCTTTAAAGTTTTTACCCGACCTTCATAAGCCCTCCCCACGCCCTTGGACCCGGAGCTATCTTTGGACCTAGGAAGCCCGTAATTCCTAACTCCATTGGCTTTGTGTTCACGCGGTTGGGTTGTAATTCAATCCCTATCAATAGGACAAGCCTGTTCTTGCAGGGAAACATTTCCGAAACCTGCGCTGATAAGGCGGGCAGGAAAGGGTTCCGACAGGTGGCCACCGATAGCGCGAATGTGCGGGCGGAAGAAAAAATATTCGAGCTTGCGTGGGCGGGTTGCACACAGTTACTGTAAGATAAAGGTTCCACGCCGGGCAGAGGGGTGCGTTCTGGCAGACAGACACGCAGGGGGAACAGTGCGGACTGTACCTTGCCCATAGAACAATTGTGAAGTCGTAATAAGAGAATAATGATAGGTGCAGGACTTTAATGTTTAGGGTGTAAACTTATGTGGATTTTAAAGGGATGCCGACGGCATAGTCAATCGGTTACGCGCTGAAAAGAAAATGTCTCTGCGCCTCTCCCCAGGGCGCGCTCTCTGCCCTGTTGGCTACTTGCCAATTTGTCGACACATGCCGTCGGCAGCCCTTTAAGGGCCTCCAGCGCTTATTGTTAGCAACGACATGTTCAGATTGTGACGGTGCGCGGCGTATTCCGGGAGCAACCAAAAAGTTACTGGAACTGGATGATCCGCGAGTTCTGGTTTGATGGCATTGTCGAAAGGTAGCGTATACTTTTTAGTTTTAAAAACGTTTTTAGTGTCTACTATGACGCACACGACCAGACGCACCATCTCGCGTTGGCAAGCCACATCACAGCCGCGAGGGTACGCAAAAACTTTTCCGCGCCTAACCGCTGTTTAGTTTGCAAGCCAATTCGACGGGACGCCATACCCATACAGCGCCACCATCGAAGTCATGCGCATAACGACACCACCGTCCCCGTTCGAATGCAGTTTATTTTGGGGAATCAGATCGCGATGAAGCGATTCGCTGTATGTTTTTGTGTACACAAGCGACGCAATAAGAACGATTTTGGATTGGCATAATAACGAATATTGATTTTTCTACCTTTCCTACAATTTGACCCCTGCCATCTTACTTAATTTGTGTGTTAGCTTTGGACCTTTTTGCCATATCCTGCCATATGAGATTTGGATGATGTACAAACTCACGCTGCCACGTGATACCCGGTTAAAGATTATTTTATTATGTATTGTGTATCACTGTCCTACTTGACGCATTGATACAATCGCGAGTGACTGATGTCATGCCAGAAGTCCAAGAAGTGATGATAAACCGTTTTCAAGAATTTTCCCCCGCTGTTGCCGCGCCCGACAGCGATAAGCCCAGGGAATTTTCAAGGATTGTGTGGTCTCGAAATAAGAGCATGTAAATTGGGAGGGGCTTATCGTGAATGGTCAGGCTATCAGTACGTTGGCAAAAAAAGGAGCAATCGTAAATTATCGATCAGCTGTTGGAAGTCGGGAGTCTTTGCTGATAAGGTGTATAATAGCTACTTCGCTTTCCATTCGTCACGTGCCAACACGATCAAGTCGTTACTTGCGCCCTTAAAAAATCGCCACAAAGCTCGTCAGGAAGTTTTACACCTTTTCAGGGCACTGCGACTTGGATAGCAGGCCGAAATGTTTGGGCCCCCGGATCTTCAGGGGTTCTCTGTGAGTATTCTTCGCGTTCCACAAAACGTCCTCAAAGCCTCTGGGTTATAGATGGAATTTAATTCTTAAAGAAATAGCGGACAATTACAGCCTAAAATTAACCAAGTTTCGTTTACAGAGGTTCCAACAAAGCATGCAACAGGCGTTGTCAATGGCGCAACAGGTAATGTTGTTTCGAAGACGACTCTAACAAAAATCGTCATGTCATTCAGTTTTAGACCTCAAGAATTAAATAGATTGCCGCATTCTTAGATTAAATAGATTTATTCTAATGCACAACTCAATACATGCTTTTTCTACTCATTAACCGTACTTTCAGGCGAACCAATTTGAGCGTCAACACGTGCTACGTCCTGGCGACGTCACGGGCACGGTAAGAGCTTCCCGTCCCATTTTTCTTGATATTCTTGCTATTTGGTACCGTTAAAAACTATTTTCAAACGGCAGGAACTTTTAGGAGAGCTGAAAGCCAAAGTTAGCTCGATTTAGGCACCGGCACCTCCAAGCTACCCATACACGTCCGGGTTTTCGGCTCCCCCTCCGAGCTATGCCTACACATCTACCTCATCTGGTCCAACGCCGGTGGGGGTTTGTCATATCGATCAGAATCCGAAAATCCTCATTTTAGAATTCCGGCAATCAGACGATCGTCGTCGTGACAAATATCCCTGAGGAGGATGACGCGGACTTGTGGAGATATATGGTGAAAAGGATGGCAGGGCGCAATGTGGATCGTCTGAAAAGGTATTGGAAATTGACGATGAGCTATCAAGAGGAAGCTCACCTTTCCAGGGTTATCCACCTTGGTCCGGACACTCGCCAGTTGCTTTTCGAATCGGAGACCGATGCGAAGGCGGCAAGATATAATTAGATCGTCATTAATGCAAATTTTTTTAGTTCATCAAAGAGTATGACAGGAAAAAGTACCCCTTCGGGATGGCAGGCGATACGATGCGGATGAAAATTGCGGATGAAGCAATGGTAAATTTGACGCTAGACTGATTTGGCTATACGTTTTTTTTTGCAGTCGACGTCCATTTAGGTACCCAACAAGAAAAAGCTGCATATTACTGGATTATCAGCTGATTGGACCCCTGAGTTAATCTACCACAATTTGCTCGGTGCGAGCACCATGATCAAGGGTGGAATGTGAATTTTTCGGAAAATCTGAGAAAAATCGGACCAATCAATTTTAGCCAAGGAGTCAGGCCAATGGAGAAGTCCGGATCTGGCATCTACCAAGTCATTGTCGAATTTTTCTCTGAAGAAGCTTGCCTAGAGGTTTGTTTTCAAAAGTTGTTTTCCAGGTATGTCCGCCTTAGGCCATGCAACGATGTCGGCAAAACTCTATGGGTTCCATCATGCGAGCAAAGCACCTGTCAGAGCCGGTTTCAAGTATGCTTTGTGACTCGTAGTTGATCAATAATCCTATGGCCCCTGATTAAAAAGATTTTTTAGACTTCGAATCACCGCATAAGAAGCTCGTGCTCAGAGGGTTGCCAAAAGACGCGACAAAAGCTGATACCATCCGCTATGTCTTTATGAACGATCCGGAATTGATTCACGAAAGGCATACCACCAACGAATTTCTCAAGCCAACCTTGTTCAGCATCAGCCTCCACAACCTAAATTGTACCGCGGAGTTCAAGACCGAAGAGGCAGCGACCCGGGTAGGGTTTGAAAAAATCTGATACCTCGCAAATTGGAGATGTTCGTTGACATCAACAAAAAGCCGTATCGTGGCAATGGACCGTTGCTGCATGTCGAGTGGTTCAAGTCGAATTGAACGTCGATGCTCAACAATAAAACACCGCACCAAAACGGAAAATAATCGCCAAATTTCAATAAATTTTATTTTTGATGTCCCAGGGGTGCTCGATATAGCGCATTAACGCTTGGTCCTCGATCGCAGCCGCCAGACCTCAATGGATTCGTTGTGCACCAGGGAGCGATCCGATTTCTGGAGCAAAATATTGGGCTCTAGGTGGAACGCGCTACTTTTACACTTGCGGCGATGCTCGCTTTTACCACGATTTAATCTCTGAATTAAATGTCGTAGTTTCTTCAATATTACGTGATTTTTTGGGGACTAAATCATTGCGAGGAGCCAAAAATATACCAAGAATTTTAATTCTAGAGCAAAATAATAGTTAATTAAAGCAGCATCTTGAGCAAGATAATTTAAGAAAGTTAAACGAAAAGCAAAAACAACTCTGTTATGGGGTTGGCAAGCTAATTATTTGGAATTTTCGATATTTTTCAAGTTCTGTTAACGCTATTCGATAGAGCATCAAAAAATTAAACCCAGATATAAAACTCAAATTAATGTAATTTAATATAGGAGGTATTTTTCTGTAGCCGTCAAGCTACAAAGCTACAAACAGAGAATACCCGCAGCAAAAAGAGTCGTGAGCGGGGAAACGCGTAAAAAAATTTAAAGAAATCAATCAAAGAGCAAATAAATATTTTTATCAATTTTCGACCCTTTCAATTTCCGGGGGAATCACGGAAATGCTGGGCGTCAGACTGTAGACCGTCTTTCGATTGTAACTCCCGATCGTGTAGGTTTCTTTTTCTAAAAGAAATTAAAAAAAATAAGATTCACTTACTTTTACAAGATAAAACTTGAGCAATTCGCAACCGGTACGATTTTGTCGCAATTAATAGAATTGAGCTGTTGCAGATGGAGTGGATGTTGATGTACATCGGGTGGATGCCGGCTACTAAAAATATAAAATTCGTTATCTTCGCATTATCGGGGTGCAACCTTTTCTGTAAGCTACAATTGTTCTAATATAACAAGAAGACGTGTTCGTAAAATGGTTTTTACTATCCTTAAACGTAACAATGGTGCAAATTTCGATTAAAAAAAATTTAGATTAGCAGTATGGCCAATTTTTGACAAAATTTGTGAAAATTTTCTCATTTTTTGGACACTTTACAACTTTATACATAGGTAAATTGTACGAAAAACTTTTTAATCATTGAAAGAAAAATTTTTCATATTTTACGAGGGTTCCACGACTTACAAAAAATTCACACCCCCGCCAATGCCAAAGAACCAGAAACTAAAAAAAGCGGAAAATATTCAAAAAATGAAAGGTCTGTCTCACCCCAATAAAACCCTGAAAATTTCAGGTCGACCCGTTGAAAAACCAGTAAAAAATAGATGACGTAAGGAAATGCGATGTAGATAAGTTGGCAAAGTGCCTAAAACAATAAGATTTTTTAATAAACGTGATATCTACCTGCAATAAGAAAACGGTAGCAAAATAGCGCCGCAATGCGCGCGTTTTTCGGCTCTCTTGGGGCTGGGAGCCAAACTTCACCAAGTTGTTGTGAATGGTGGACGCTGCGATGTAGAAATATTGACAGGTGGTGATCGTCAATAGGAGCAAAACGGCGCGGAAAATGTTGCGAACAAGTGGGAGCATATCGACGAGGAGGACGTTATTCCTGCCGCAAAATAGGGGTTGGCGGCGACAGACCTGAAAATTCTGGTTCTTTCGCTGGATCGGGGGAGGCCGATTTTTGTTGCAATGTCCAGAAATAATTAGTAAAGTAATTATCACAATTTTAATGTGTATTTATTAAAATTAAATAATATATTTAAGCGGAAAACCTCTAAAAAACCTCTAAACCTTTTAAAAATCCGGCATTATGCTCGAACAGACCGAACTTTCCGGTCGAAAAATCGACATTTTCTGGATCTTTATATTTTTCATTTTGTCATATTCTAGGTGATTTCTCTATGAGGGATCACGGCTAGATATGATATTCCCATCAGGGTGGCTACGATTTACCCTCTAAGTCAGCATACTAATTATACTGAACTTATCTGACCTCCGTGCTAAGGTTGCATCTCTGTAATTAACTACGTTTATTAATAACTTTACCCATTTAATGGTAAATTGGCACTCTAGACTGGGGTTTCTTGGGAAGCTGAAGGAGAAGACAGATATTAATGTGTGGATACGTGGCCTGATGGCGCTTTCGGTGTAATTAACTATAACATGTAAGCTTACGGTATGGGGTTTTTCTTAGTTTATTTAGCATTTCATAAGAGCGTAATGTGCAAAGGGTTTTTAAGGAAAGAGATAAGAGCCCGGGAAAGGATGCCAGGCAACACGGAGATTCAGGCCCAATAATTTAAAATAAGAGATCATAAAAAGATCTACAAGTTGGGTCCAAAGATTCAGGACCATCGGCCTTTCGGCCTCCGGTCCCTCCTCTGAGTTCTCTAGTTAAAAGGCTTAGATCTAGCGTACGATTCCTAGACTAGCTAGAGCTAGGTGAGAACTGGGCAAGAAGTGGGGAGGCCCCCGCAGGGGTCCTCCCGGGGCCTGTTCCCCCGAGTGGGCGTGTCTCTCCCTATCATATAGGACAATTTCCATTTGATATTTTTGAAGATTTTTAACCTTAATGCGACCTTAATTTTCTTGGATAAAAATCGCCTAAAAGGCTTCACTCCGTAAAAACAGTTTTTATTGGCAAGGGCAGTTCAGATATTCAAATACTTTGCTATTTGGTGTGATCTTTTCCTGGTAAAAACACCTTGACAGCTTAAGTACGACGAGAGCCTGCAATTCCCCAGGGCCTGACGTTGCTGATCACCTGCCACGGCTCTACTTTACTGTTAATGCAAAAACAATCGGCTTTACAATGTGGTCGGGGTATTAAATTGGCACCTGCACAGTGTTCTCTAAGTTAAACATACGTTGTTTAAAGGGGTTTGGAAGTCAAAATTCGTGCGTGCGGGGAAGGATCCTACTGATGAAAGAAAACGCAAGGGCTACTGCCCCAAAATACCGGCAACTATCGTTTCGTTGCGAAAAAACGTAAAAAATTTGGGTAAAACTGAAAAGTTCTCGGGGCTAAAACGAGTTTTTGAGTGCGCGGCGAATATATGTCGTAATGTCTGATAAGGCGCCCAATCACTCGATCTCGGTGATTCTCTGATCCATTTTCAGAATTAAAAAGTATAAAATGATCAAAATTCGATGAGGATTACACAAATAACTTTAGAATTTTTAAATGCAAGCGTTTTCACGTTCAACAATGGGCCAAGATCATGCGGCGCGGTCGCGCTGCGGCCAGTAATCAACGCAGGGGCCCTGGACCACTTTTCGGAGCCCCTTGAATACCGGCAGCCATATTCTTCCAGACTCACCTCAATCGGATCAATCGTCGCTTCCCCATAGAAATACTGTGACCAGAGCCAAACACTGGAACAAGCCGCCAAGCAGACAAAAACGGCGATGAGGCCGAGCTTCATCCGGCGCTCAAAAACCCGCTCCTTCAGGTGGGCGGTTTGATACTTGGTAATACCCGTGTAGTAAATCACGGTTGCGATGTAAAAAACCATAAGGTAGTAGAGATTCTAGAAATTGAGTTGAGGTATCGGGATCCGCAGCTTACAATCCCCAAAAATGACTGCTCTTTCGTGAATCGATGATCGCTCAACATTTTCACGCAGTAGATTGGGGCGTAGAGGATCGGTTTGTAGATGGAAATTATCGTATCCGCGAGTTCGGATGCGATCTGAATGCTTGCATTTTGCCGTTTAATACAAAATATAGTTTTGATAAAAGTCCGAACTGAAGCTGCGCCTCAAACTTGATAAACTCAAATTAAGGCACTTTCGCCGTAGCGGGGGGGGGGGCACCGGATAATTTAGAATCGTCGTATTTCAAGTAAAAAACTATCTAAACACCAAAAATTCGGAGTTTTTGTCCGACAAAATCTCCAATTTTGTTTATCGAAAATCGCTATTTTGCATATTTTTAGCAAATTTTGTAAAGTTTTTGCGTTGATCATTAGCATGAAAAGGTAGTAAAACTCTTCCATTTATTTTAGAAAAGGCTCCCAAGTAAGAAAAAAAGTTGGTTTTCTCTCCTGATATCCCGCTCTTTCCCCCCCCCCCGATAATGCCGAAGAACCCAAATTAAGTATACTTACCAGTAGGTTCAGCTGGATTCGTTTATAACTCTTTGTAGCTG